CTCCCACCCCCTAAACAGCAAAGTGTTATCTAATCTGAAATGTCAATAATGCCAAGGTCAATAAATCCTACTCACTAAACTAGTCCAGACATGGATTTCTATTTGAGAATGCTTTTTATGGAAAAAATAGAGCTACTATCAATGAAATAATAAATTAGAAACAGGAAAATAGGAAGTTTAATGTAATGCAGTATGAAAATTGGGATAGGAATCTTGGCTCTGCCTCTTAAGCCATGTGACACCAGACAGGTTATTTAGTCTTTTGGAGGCTGCTATGGTTTCAATGAGTGTGATCCAAAGGTCCATGAGCTAAAGGCTTAGACCCCAGTGTGTGGCATTGAAAGGTGCTATGTGTCTGTAGGAGGTATAGACTTTTGGGGTTAGAGCCCCCAAAAGAATTGTAGGACCTCCCCTCTTCTTTCTCTCTGCTTCCTGCCCAATGAAGTGAAAAGTTTGCTGCAAGGCATGATTCCCTCACTAGAGACCCAAAGCAAGTGAGCTTCTTCAGTCTCAAATGAACTTTCAGAACTATGAGTCCAAATAAACTTCTCCTCTTTATAAGTTAATTGCACTAGTTATAAGTTAATTGCCTCAGGTATTGACTAGAACCTCTAGAACCAAACAGTGAGCCAAACAAGTTTTTATTTTTTATTCATTAACTGCCTTGGGTATTTTGCTATAGTGATGAAAGCTGACTAATACATTGATGAAGAAGAATTCAGTCAAGAGCACTTCAGTTGCATTGGTATGCAATATCAAGATAAAACCAACCAAGATGGTGCACTCCTTAGCATGCCTGGGATAGGAAGTTGAAGTCCTACATGTCAGAGCTGCTTATCTGTCTTCATTTTCCAAGGGGCTGACATTGACCTGAAAAGCCCTTCCTGCACTGTGCTCAGGGTTCTGATAGCCAAGGTGGCATAACAGCCACCCACTCAGAGCAGAGAGAGGGTATTGAACAATCCCAGTCAGCTCAGCCTCCCAGGGGCAGAGAGCTGTGGCTAAAATTAATTCCTCATGTTCAACTCACCTTTCACCTCCCCTCCCTTGTCCTCACCATGGTTTTGTATAGAGAAAGCAATCAGAGGCTTTATAAGGCACATTTGTCAGTGCCTGCATGATAGCTCTGGGCTGATTCTTCTTTTATTTCTCTCTCCTGTTCCTTAGCCTTTCTATTTTCAGGTTCACAGAAAGAAGTTACTTTTGAGTTCTACCTCCCAGAATTACGTGATAGAAGAGTCCAATTGCTGTAGAGCAATTCCCATTTTGGATCCTTACTGATTCACAAAGACCCAGTGCTACACATTCCGTGCCCAGCTGGGTTCTAAATTTTTCTCAGTGGGATGTTTCAGTGGAACCACATAAAATCCTATAAATGCCCATGAGAAGACGCAAGAGTTCACCCATTCATCCTGATGCATAGCTGACCCACTCAGACGTGGTTGGCAAGCATGTTTCCTGAAGAGTGTGCTCTCAGAATGAGAAAACTTAAATGAATATTTTGTAGCAGCTACTCTGTATTTCTTTACTATTTAAACATTGGCACTAGATGAGTAGCAAGACAACTCCTCCTCTTTATGGTTTCTAATGGTTTACTTTATCAATAAAACAGAATGGCTTAGAAAAAACAGGATACATCATTTTTTTAGGAATCATGTCAAGATTGTCTATCCATGAAGTTAGTATGTACATTCTTCAAAAAAAATAAGTTGGATGTAGTAGTAAAAAAATGATTTAAAAATATGGTCTATTCAGATTGGCTTTTTCTTTTGATGCCCATACACAGAGGTCATTTTGATCTTCTAATTTAAATCAGTTAAAATTTTATAGATTGTCCTAATGAAATTTAGTTAAATGGATTCTTTCAATCATACAGGAAAGCAGGCAGGAGAGATACTAAAGTATCCAAATTCCAAAAGGTAAGCCACTCCTAGAAAGTCTTGGCAGAGCAGAACATAAAATTCATATGTTGCCCTGGATTTAGTACATCATACCACTTTTTAAATATGCCACAAAGTAAGGTAACAGCTCTGAAATACTGGACATTCTCAATTGCCTCATGGAAGGATGCTGTCTATAGGGAGGAGAGTCTGGACTCATTTGTATTAATATATTATTTTTCTTAAGGGGGAATTTTCTACTCCACATTGTAGAACAACTGTGTAGTCACAGGAACTGATATTTGAACAATAACACTTCTGTGAAAAAAGAATTGGCTCTATGATGAGACAAAAAGAATGGTGCTCATTTGTAGCTATGCATTTTTCCAAAACTCTAAAATTTTCTGTGGGAGCAACAGTAGAATTTGGATCCAATTGGGAATAGAAGAATTGGGTCCTAGATTTGTCTCTCATTTATTGTGTCACCTTGGAAGGAAATAGCATTTCCCTGGATGTCTCTTTTGATTTGAAATGGAGAATTAAAATATCCACCTTACCTCCAACTCACAGGCTACTTCATAGTGAAAATGAAATAATCTGTATAAGCAAAAATGTCCTAATTAAAAATGGTTTGATGATACTCAAAGCTAACATTTAAGCCAATAGTCAATACTTAATTGCCCAGTTTTATATGGAGTGTTAAACATGTGGTCATCTCAGTGAATCTTCATATTAATTCTGGAAAGTATTTATCATGTCCCCACCATCCAGTCTAGGAGCCAGAGACATAGGGAGATTCAGTAACTTATAGAAGATGTGGAACTTGATCAACAAATAGGAAGAATGAGCACTTACTTAGAGAACCAACAAAACAGGAAGAATATTAAGTAAGAATTTTAGAAAAGAATCTGATATATTCTTTCCCAAAATGTTGTAATAATCATCAGAGGAGAAAAATCAGGACTGCTAGAAAATCTTACCATTATTTTACAGCTTAGTGTTGCTGTATTTTGAATTATCTGTGAGGAGAGGAATCAGATATTTCAGGGTTTAGGGCATTTCAAGGTCTTAATCTGAAGACTTAACTGATGAAACCAAGTTCTCAATTCATCAGATTGAAAGGCCCATATTTATAACTGCTGTACTGTACCCTATCCTGTAATAACAAAAACTATTATTACTAAATAACAGTTACCAGTGATAATCATAGTTTTCAGGAGAAAGCAATGCTATTAAAGAAAGGTTTATTCTGTTTTGAAAACACATCGGAAGCAACCCATAATTTAGAACTAAAGGCACAAAGAGACAGGTACACAGTAAAGGTCACTGGTTTTCTTATGTATCTATGACTTTAAAAGTACTATTCAAAAGCTTTCCCATCGCTGGCAGCAAACTCATGCATTCTCTATTGGCTCGGGGCAAGTGGTTAACATCAGTTTAGAAATCTTTGAAATTCCTAATAGTAACACAATACACCCTACAGCAGCAATTTTAGGGCCAATGATAATATGCATGGAGAGGGATTGATTTTTCCTATGAGCAAATGAACAGCTCTTAAGATCTCAGGCTATTTTGGCTCCTCTTACAGCCACCACATTCCCTAGGGTTTAAGCAAGAAGCATTTAAAAATCAAGTCTATTAGTATCTAGTGAATTTGGATGATAAGGATTCATAGCAACTGCTAATACATCTCAATTCCTTCAAGCACTCAAAGATAACCTCATAAGGTCATTTCTATGCCTTAGTCTAAGAAATACTAATAGACTCCAGATGACAGCTGAGCTGGCTGTTTTTTTGGAAACTGTGGTAACAGATGAATGAGTGGGTGGGACTTTTTGTTTCAGTACCTTGAAGCTTTTGCTCCCACAATTCTTAAACCAGATATAGGAAGACTTGGGATAATAGGGAAGAACTCAACAACACAGATTCTTCTGATTTGCTTTTGAAGAAAATTAATACTGATTTAAGTCATGAAAACACAATCACAGGCTTCATGCTATTCAAAAGTCTTGAGCCACATATAGACAAATTTGCTTTGAAAGTTTCTTTCAAGATGATAATCATTAGCAAAACAACTCTTAGAATTCTGGAAATGTGCTTCAGTCTTCTTTATTATTGTGCCCATCTTACTATAACAGAAGGAAGAGGAAAAAGTGAGACAAGATAGGGAGTTTTCAGTATAGGATCACATTAGACATTCATCATGTCCACATTAGTGAGAAGTGCAACATTCAGAGCTGTATTCTTGCATCCGTCAGGTAGGTAGCAATACAACTGTAGAATGAATGTCCCTGGCTAAGTATTTCCCCTTGTCTTCCTGGCATTTTTATCACTAGGGCTCAGGACTCTTTCCTAGGTGAAGTGAGTGGTGAGAGGGAAGGCTAAGAGATTATTTGAATAATCTCTTTTTAAAATGGCAACCTTTTCTCCTCTTGCCCTTGAATCAGCCATCTGGCTCTGGGAGTTTATTGCCACATGCTCCTTGACTATGAAATTCAAACAAATAATTCGAAAGAATAATTAACCCTCTCTCCCCTTTGCCAGCATGCTTGCTAGTAAAATGACTACTTGACTGGAACTTCAAGGCAGGTTTAGTGTAAGTGACAAAGTCAACCAAATAATAAAATCCCACCATTTTTTTTTCTCATTGCTCTCCTGATTAATGTTCATGAATTCAAATTTAGCAATCCCCTTTTTATAATGTCTGTGCTATCTCTTGCCATCTATACCTTCAAGCACACCTGATTAAATAGCACCACATCTCAAATTGACTGTACTGTGATTCTTGACAGTAGCTCACAATAAAGATAGGATCCCCTTCCTCCACTGCTCATGATTTGCAGTGCCTTGGAAAACCATAAAGATTGTCTTTGGTATGAACCAGTCAGGCAGCATTAGTCAAAGGTTGGCAAAAAATGTTCAGTGCAAAGTAAGTCTCCAGAAGCTCCCTATACTGATCAAGTCCTAAAGAAAATAACTTATCTTCTTAGACACAATGAACAAATTTGTGCTTCATTCAGTGTTTCTTAAAATGGTGATGACAGTCATGGGAAAAGTTGCCATGTAGAAGTGAAAGTGGGAGAGTGAAAGACGCCATGGCCACTCAGAGTAAATATGTACCTGTTGGATAATGCTCGTTCACGGGCCAGTTATCCACCTGGAGTGTCGCATTGCCTCCATTCCTGGTGAAGCGCACCACGTGGTATTTGCCATCATTAACGGGGGTTCTCTCTTCTTTGATGGAGATGTCAACTGTGCCAATATTGAAGACAACTCCAATTTTCCCCTGTTCCTATAATAAAGAATTACAAAAGGCATAGTTATCACTGACCACAAAGTTTGCTCCCTTTAAAACTGATCCACCAACAAGCAATAAACCTGTAGGTGCCCACAGGGAGCCATCGGTACGAAGTTAATAATAGTATCCTCTATTTCTCTGTGGACTTTCATCCTGAACATAAAAACCAATGGTATAAAGCCACCCTAATTGCTCTCACAGGCTGCACTGAATAGGTTACCTCATTCAATTGCCCTCAACGGATATCAAGGCTGGAAGGACAGAGCTACCTAACGACCAGGCATTGACACTGCAAAATTCATTTCTGTGAGATGAATCAGGGCTGTTTCCTAAGAGAAGCTACTAAGACACTGGAGCATAAATCATTTCACAATTCAACTTTATGCTTAAAGAGGAACTATGAGCCTGCCTGCACATTTTAGGACAATCGGGCCAATGGAAGGGCTCCAGAGTGATTAGAAGCCAACTGCAAAGGAACTAACATCATAGAACAAATCCCAATGATATTTTCTGCAGACCCAAGCCACATTTTAAAGGTATTTTCAGTAAAAGGCAGTGAAACTCAGCTGGAGTTTTCAAAGTCATATGGCTGTCATCCTTCTGATACTTGTAGACCTGCTCCTCAGTTGAATCCAAAAAGAGATTCGATATTCAGTGCTGTAGTTTATGTCATACACCAGAAGAGAATGTCTATAGCTGCAAAAAGACTTTTAGGAAGGAAAACTACAATGAATTTTGGAACAGCTATATTAGGGAAATGAAAATGATGAAGAAGATGGTAATGGTGGTAGTGATGAGATAACCAACCTCCTAGAAAATGCCTGTAAACCCTGAACCATAAATAATAGTGCTATTAAGACTGTTACTCTTTTACTCTAATAATTGGTTATGATAAAGAGTTGGAATTAGTATTCACAATGAAACAAAATGAAAGTGACCTTACTGATCAGATCTCTCTCTCTCTCTTTTTTTTTTAGTGGTACTGGGGTTTGAACTTAGGGCCTCATGCTTTCTATACAGGAGCTCTACCACTTGAGCCACTCCACCAGCCCCTCTTACTGATCAGATATGATCAGCTTTTCTGGACCTCTTGGAATAAGCTTTTCAGAGTAACAGGAGGGCAGGGCCAAGAGGGAAAGAGAGATTTTTCTGCATTACTCCACTTGTCTGACTTATTGGCAGTGGGCTGGGCACTTGATGATATAATTCAGCTGTAATTCTGACATTCTACAAGATTGAGTAAGAGTACTTGTTTATCAGCTTTTATTGCCCACTATTTTCTTATTCAAGAAGAAGTATAAGGAAGATATAAACAAGGAAAAAGGGACAGGAGGAAGAAGCATATGTTTTTTAAAAACCCAGAATTCATATAACCTAAATTCTAGGAAAGATTTTAGTGATTTTCAGAGTTAGTAATTTGTCCATCCATTCATTCAAGACATAAATACAATATTAATTAGGCACCTATTATACTCAAAGTCCAAAAATTAAGACTTCTTATGGGATGGACTTTGGTTTCCATGTAATTTGGCATATTTTACTTGTTTCCCAAAAAACATGTTTTCATCAACTTGATATTTGTCCTTTAGTATGCAAATACATCTTGTACCCAATTAAAAAATGGACAAGCACCCAAGAGACTTGATCTTAGAAAAGAGGAATACAGACTGACCGATGAATAATGTAGTCAGGCCAGGTGCCAATGGCTCATGCCTGTAATCCTAGCTACTAAGGAGGCAGACATCAGGAGGATTGCATTTCAAAGCCAGCCCAGGCAAATAGTTTGTAAGATTTTATCTCAAAAAAATCCCTTCCCAACAAAGGGCTGGAGAAGTGGCTCAAGGTGTAGGCCCAGAGTTCAAACTCCAGTACCAAAATAATTATAAACAATGTGGTCAGCATTCAGGGATGCAGAGATACAGGACGGGCATCACTGTTTCCTTTGTGCCCTGACAGCATGGCGGGCAACATAAACCAATTTCTTCATTTGCCATCTTCTGTTCTCTTGAAAAATGAATTCAAATGCCTCCCCAAATGGTAACTAAATACACTCGTGATTTCTTAAATCTCTGTTTATTGGGACCGCTCTGTTCCCAGTTTTGTTTTGCTTCATCTCTCCATCTTTATGCTAAGCAAAGTAGCTAGCATTACAAAATGATGCATGGATAAATGAGCCTGATTATGGGTTCCTTTTTGTACTTTTCATGCCCATAATTAATAATACTATGATCCATTTTATACTTTCTCCTTGATTCTTAGGCAATTCAGAAATGACAACATCACTTTTCTGCTCTCTCTCAGAGAATTAGCATTCATTCCTAAGGCTGTGGAGGTGGGCAGGTGGGTGTTTGCATCCTCACACCTAAATAAGCAAGGCTATAATAGCCTGAGTCATAACCTGCTTAGCAGAATGAAAGCCTGGAGGAGTTAAGAAACCATGACTATAGACGCCATTACTCCTCTGCCCAGCCCACAAATGTGGGCTGTTTATTGCACCACTGTTGTTCAATGAGAAACCACTACATAAATCCTAGATGCATGGAAAGGACTGCTGGTGATTCAATTCACCTCTGAGTTACTAATTAATCACGGATGGAGAACAGTTTTAGGGGGAGAAAGGAGACCTTTAAACTAGCATTCTGTAGCTTGCAGCAACACGATGGCAAAGTACAGTTCTGGCTCAGTGAGTTGGCTGATCAGCAAGATATATTCTTGGGCAGATTTTCTGCAAGATCCATAATAGATTCAGGAAAATAAAAGATTTAATCTCTTCCAGAATAAATATTTGGTCCTTATCTCAGGCACCACACATTTGCCATTGTAATCACTGTTTCAGAGAAATCTTCTTAGTCCTGTTAGCATGCTGCCAAATTCAGTGTAGATCCTTACCCACATGTTTCATTTTGCTTCCTGCAGTGGTAAATGTGGGTAGGCTGGACTTCATATGTGGCCTCTTTATTTGCAGTAATAACATTTCATTATTGCATCCTCTGTCATTCTTCATGGGACCATAGTGGCACTATAATCTGTGGCTAACTGCTTTGTTTCAGTTCATTATAAGTCATAGAAATCTTGTGGCAAGTACTCATACAGTTGCCCAGGCTTGAATCTATCATGTTTAGCTGCCATGAAAAATAAACTCTGTTGGCTCATGTGTCTACAGAGGAGAAGATGTGAGGGATAAAAACCATTAGCTTTGGAGTCAGCCCTGATTGACCTTGGGGGAGTTACTTAACTATTCTGAACCCATTTCTTGATAATACAGTATAGGGACAAGAGAGAGAGAGCAACTTTACATACTTCAGAGGGCTGTTGTAAGGACAAAAGAGTATGACTGATGAAAATGACAGTATTTTATAAGTAATAAGACAATGTACAAATATGAGAGATGAATCAGGTCAGAAGAAGGGACCAATCAATCATTTGACCATACATAATGATCTGTGCTTATTGAAGTTAATTGGTTCAACAGGATAAATGTGAGTTTTAGCACAACACAATGTAAATAACCCCTGCAGTTCCTAAAACTACATGACCTTGGGCAGGTTAGTTAACTTCTACTTTCTTTTCTATAAAATGATGCATAGAGGGAGGTAAAGGCAAATTGCTAACTCTGAAGCCTGTTGTGAGAATTATGTACAAAGCAACTGCCATGTGACTATTCAGACTTCTGGACCTCAATAAATGTCAATCTTCTTTTCTTTCATTATGGTAATTGAAAGAAGTGGCACGAGCTAAGGACTAGTTGATTTGCAGACACTTGTCATCAAGATACATTGTGAAAATAAACGTAAATGTTAGCAAACAGAACATAAAAAATATTTTGTAGGGTTGATTTCTCATCACAACTTGGTAGTTGCTATCTATCCACATTTCTTGGTGCCTTTTATAAGCACCTCTAAGATAAGAAAAGTGTAGCTGCAGGAACAGCATGGCTATAAATTTTAATAACTCCACACCCATCACCACTAAAGTTGCTACCAAGGCAATCGCCTCAATCTATGTTCTTCCATGATATTAAAAACAAAGACAAGTGGTAGATCAGAAGACATTACCAATGATCCTCAAGTGAATTCAGGAAGAAAAACACTGAATGGTATGGAAACAGCTGTCTTTCAATAGCTAGTAAGTCATTCTTCATCAATAATAACTATTTATGAGCCCATGTGGTTCCACAAATTAGTCCAACTCCATCTTTCTATTCTTCAGTTAGCCACATTACAGTTACTGCTGCTAAGGTGACCCAGTGATATTATTAACATCAGGGTCAGACTTTAGAAGCAGGAATGTATAGGGGAGAAAAATCGTCAGGAATAAAGATCTCCCTGAAGGCTATCTTTTCATTTATTCCAGAGTGCCCCCTGGGGAAGGCAGAATGCACCATCTGCTATTTCAGAAAATTGCAGCTGACAGAAACAAAACTGAGATTTTCAAATGCATGCCAGGGAGATGTGCACTGGAAGCAACTCTCAATTTCGTCACTGTGAGGCTTCCACCGAATGTGTTAATTTAGTGCTGGACAATAATCTAATGAAATCCATGTGTAAATGATGATTCCTATGTCCTAATTCACTGAAAGATCTTCTGCACCCATTTCTCAAAGTCTGATTTACACTATATAAAATAATTTATGGTGCTGTTTGCCATACATTTCAAGTTTTCCCCATTACAAGCTCATAGTAACAGAAAAGTTCTTGGTCCCTGTAATGGTTTGAATATGAACTATCCCCCACAAGTTCCTTGTGTTGAGGAACGGGGTGGTTCTATTTTAAGAGGTATTAGAAACATTATTAGGTGGGACCTAACTAGAGGAAGTAGGTTACTGGGGCAGGTTCTTGGGGGCATTTTGCCTTGGGCCACTTCTTGTTGCCTTTTCTCTGCTTCCTGTCCACTGTGATGTAAACTGCTTTGCTCTATTATGCTTTCCCTGCCATGATGGACTGATACCTCAGAAAGTGTGAGAGAGATAAATAATTCCTCCCTTAAGTTGTTTT